GTAAAACTGAATATTTAATGAGACACGTGACATTTATTGTCCTATAAACCTCTTTTCACTTGGACAACGTTTTTGGGATCGACTGTATAAAGWAATATATATATTTTTCCATTTCATGAAGTTGTAAAAGTAATAAAATTATATTCCTATTACGTATCAAAGTAATTAATATTCTTGAGGGGTTTTAATTGCAAATACGACAAATACTGAGTCTATAATCGACTGCAGCCGAGCACCATCCGAACATCGAACTTGAAGTCTGTAAGTGCGCTATATATAAAGAAATAAATATATTTTTCCATTTCATAAAGTTGTAAAAGTAATAGAATTATATTCCTATTACGTATCAAAGTAATTAATATTCTTGAGGGGTTTTAATTGCAAATACGAGAAATACTGAGTATGATAAGTAAGTCGGGTTACATGTGGTAAAAACCGCTGGTTACATAGACTGTCGTCTATAAAAAATAATCCAATCTCATTGGCTGTAGAATTTCCCGCGAATTCTCAAAGCGCGGGAGAATTTTAATTCTTTCCATTGAACAAAGATCATATCTGTGAAAGAAGCGTATCAGTCGTCTCATTTTATTATTACGGTTCCTCCACTAAAAAAGCTAAGAAATCCAAAATGCCTCGAGAAACTCGAAGTTCATCTACTCTTCAAGCTGCAATCGAATTTCCACGCCGTAAGACTCGCTCACAAAGAAAAAAAAGCGACTCAAAAGTCGAGGTTGTTAGATCGCCTCGAAAGCGAAGAGACACAGCTGAAGGTAAGATTATTGATTGGCAAAATTTTCCATATATGATTCCTTATGTGGAAATCTGAATAGAATTAAGCACGATATTGAGTAAAATAAGTTATTTACTTGTATGATTGGTATAAATTTTGAATTTCCTTCGCGAGCTTTCGGCGCGTCGCTGAATCAGCTTGTAGGCTGCTCAATGCATGTTCGACGAAGGATATTTTCATTTCCTTATCGTTAGGAATTTCAAGAAACCAAATGCCAAGAGAATCATATATTAACTAGACAAAGTTTTATTGTGTGTCAGTAAGTAAAATGCTTCACAATCTGAGGGATTTTTCTTGGAAAGAAATATTTTATTCGTCTTGCAAAATGCTGAAAGGAGTTGCATATTTGCTTTGTCATGCTAATGCTTCGTTAACGAGGTTACTGTCAAAGATTTGCATTTGAATACGAATTTTGTTGTATCCTTGCAATAATGCATTGTATTTCCATGGCAATAGTGCAGCTGATTTAGAGACAGCTCTGTTTTTATCCTAATTATGTATAATTCCATAACTAATCAAGCTCAAAAATTTATCAAAAACTTTTTCTGAATAATTTTGAAACAATTATATTTGTAGACAGTTTTGCTTGTACGATAACATCATTTATTTAACTAATAAATATTTGAATAAGCAAAAAAAGTTATAAAGATATTGCAATTATTTTCTAATTATTTCTTGATGTTTTTTTTAGTTCGTAAAATTACAATATCTCCAAAGAAAAAGAAAAACAATAAAGGAGAAAGTGAAGATGTGGCCTCCTCAGATACTGAAAACACATCGCCACAAGAAACCAAGCTTGATGGCTCATTGCCACTTGTTTCCAAGACCAAAATGAATTTGTTGAGAAACATAACTCCTTGTAGGCCTTCACTTGTTGATAGTATCTTGGATAATAATTCTACTCCATGTACCCCAAAACAGAGATCAGTGTTATCATTAGCAAAGGCAGAGGGTAAATATTAAAGTTATGAATAAGATTGAAATGTTACCTTAAAGACTTGCTTAACCATTCTTGTTTATAATGTCATTTGATATTTATTTTTTTAGGACAATGTTATAGTGCAGTAAAGAAAGCTCTTCATACAGGGACTCCCAAAGCCTTACTCTGCAGAGAAAAAGAACTGAACACTATCCAAACATTCCTTCATAACCATCTTTCAAAACAAAAGCCTGGAAGTTTATACATCTCTGGTGCCCCTGGGACAGGAAAAACAGCTTGCTTGACTAAAGTCATGAACGAATTAGAGGTAAGTACTTCCAGAATTAATATTTGCAAATATTGAATTTGAATTTTCAGCAATTAAAGTGGCTCGTTTGGGTTTTATTTAGAATTTGCAATCGGAAGTTGAAAGGTTGCACAGAGAAAATACCATTGAACTGCCTTAGAAAGTATACAAAGTATATATTTTACAACAATCACTCACTATTAAGGGCTCTTCCATGAGGTTATTAGCTGCACACAAAGTACAAATTCACTATTTACAGCATATTTACATACTTATTTTTATAAAGGGAGGAAAACCAGAGTACCCAGAGAAAAAAACTCATAGCAAGGGAGAGAACAACACATATATAATGTGGTTCAGTCCAGAATCAAAAACTGAACCCCAGGCTTGAGCTACATTACACAGCAGTGAGCAACAATGGGATCATTGCTTAGATATTAAACTTAAAATTTTAAATATTTTTGTTTTAATTTCTTCAGGATGAACTAGATGGCTGTCCAATCACGTTTGTAAACTGCATGACTCTTCAACATTCAAATGCAATATTTAATAAAATTCTAGAGGATTTTCCTGGAAAAGACAAAGTTTGTGGAAAAGATTCTCAAAAGGTTCTTGAAAAAAGAATTACATCGTCAGGACCAATGAGGTAAACAGAACATAATTTTCAATTGAATATTTGCCATTTTTATAAACAGTGCTATGATCTCATTGGGGTGAGGGAATGTTTTAATCTTTTTATGTTTGTTTTTATGCCTAGAATTATTGTCCTTGATGAAGTTGATCAGTTAGAGACAAAGAATCAAGATGTTCTTTATACTATGTTTGAATGGCCTTCACTTCCAAAGTCAAAACTCATTCTTATAGGTAAGAAATATCTTTTCGCCACTTTCTATTGTGTCCAGCTAGTAGTCTCTGAGAAAATTATTAATCATAAATCGTTTTTATTTTAATGTGCTGATTAGATTATAATTTTTGATTATTAACTTATAGGGATAGCAAATGCCCTTGATCTAACTGATAGAATTTTACCAAGATTGCAAGCAAGACCAAAGTGTAAGTTTGAATGTTATCACTGAACCTAGGTATCACTATCCTCCTATAAGTATTTGATGGCTCAGAATTACTGTGAGAAAGGAAAATCGATATACAAAACTTTATATTGCTAGTTTAAGGCACCCATATGGGTTTATATTGACAGTCTTGGAAGAAAATACATTCTGTATTGGCCTTTGCCACTTCAAGACCATACAGCCAATTTGGAATATATATATGTTTCCAATTAGCCATCAATTATGACCATTATTTTTTTGAGTGCAATTACAGAGTGATAATACATGGTCTGTGAACTTGTTTTGAACTGTTTTTTTTTTTTTTTTTCACAGCAGTAGTTTGAGTTCAAGCTTCCATGTTTACAATGAAAATGGTTGTTTTTCATGCACTCTTTCTCTACGTTTTTCATGTCATACAATAAACAATAATATTTATTACACTTCTATAATTGTGTATTAAAAGTAAACAATAATTTTACTTGTGAAGCTGTATTTTTTCTTGAAAAATGTACAGCCGCTTTCACTCGTGAAATTATTCAGCTGTAATACACAACTAGCAGTGTGATAACCTCTATGTATTGGTGGTGGCTCCAAGTCACAATAAGCTATAAGAAGAAAGAGAGATAAAACCAAGTCGTGTCTCCATGGATTTTCTTTGTATACTCATGCTTTTACATATCAACAGGTAAACCTGAATTACTTCATTTCACTCCCTACTCAAGAAGTCAAATAGCTACTATTTTACAAGACAGAATATCACAGGTTAGGAAAATTAATTAGTATTATTAAAAATATTATCACTATGTTCTCACTTCCAATTGACAGAGATCCTAGAAAATGAATATTATCAGCCTATGACTTTGAAAGATAGATCAGCCTTATTCGTACTATAAATTACTACTTCATGCTCAACCTCATCTGACAATCTTGTATTTTTTATCTTTCTTTAGACAAGTGAGAGTGCAGTCATTCTTGATGCCCCAGCAATTCAATTTTGTGCAAGGAAAGTAGCCTCAGTAGCTGGTGACATGAGGAAGGCATTGGATATTTGCAGGTATGGGGTAACAGTACCATTACTTGGCACTTGGCATGTGCATGTGGTTCAATATATCTTAGCCTACGTAGCCTAGACATTCTTCACCCCTCCCCCCAATTTGGGATGCTATTCAGGCTAAATATATCAGGGCCAAAAAACCACCACAGTGGAGCACTATTGGAGTCCCTTTTTTTTGAGTCTCAGACTAAAAGACTTTCTTTCTCTATACATATACAGAAGAGCAGTAGAAATAGTTGAAGCTGATGTCAGAAAACAACAAATCCTACAACCCATTTTATCAGGTAAAAGCAAGTCTTAAAAAGATAAAATTGTATGAAAAAACAACAAACCAATTGATTATAGTCATCTACAGTAATTCTGATATGACTAACATTATTATTCCCTGTATGTTTGCAGATAAAACCAACTCACCGAAAAAAGTAGCAACTGTTGTTCCAACAACCAAAAAAGTTGGTATTGCACAAATTGCCAATGTTGTATCAGATGTTTATGGTTCTCGTATTATGGCTGGGTCAAGTGGCAGTCAACCAACAATACCATTACAGCAGAAGTTATTGATCTGTACTCTCATGTTGATCATGAAGCAGGGAAAATCAAAGGAGGTCACAATTGGAAAGGTGAGGAGCAACTCATTTCACCATAGGTTTTGGACCCCCGAGTAGATTTTGAAAAAAGTACGTGATGTTAAATAATAATGGTACGGCACCTTGCACAAGATGCACAAGGCACAACATAAGTTGTTAGGGGAGGGAGGGGGGAGGCAGCCTAACTTTATCCCACCCATTAAAAAAATGTAAAAGTAGAATGGCGTAAACATAAGGGAGGGTGGGAGGCTGGCAGTGTATTGCCCACCCATAAAAAATGTAAAAATGGAATGGTAAAGACATAAGGGAAATTTTTTTAATTGTCATATATTGGTCAAATGCAAAGATACTCAAGGCATTCTTTTCATTTCAGTTTCATGACATGTACTGCAGTGTTTGTAAAAAACAACAAATAAGCCAAGTATCACAGGATGATTTTATTGGTTTATGTAAGATGCTTGAAGCAAGAGGTATTTTAGGACTCAAAAAGGCTAAAGAAACAAGACTAATGAAGGCAAGCAAACATTTAATTTCAAATTTAATTTAATCTTGAAAATAGTCACATACAAATAGCATGCCATTTGATAGCATTAAGGTGCTGACACACGGTGCAACATTGCATGCAACATTGCACGAAACCAGACTATTGCAGCAATGTATATCTACCCCAAACTTGTTGCATGCAACAAATCGGAAGTTGAATTGCACTCTACTCTTGCAGCATTACGCACAACAAATTTCATCTTATGAACATGGCTGCAACATTACCTGCAACATTTTGAAATTTCCAGCCAATCAGCTTGCACCAAATTTATAACTTCTGACCATATATCTTAACATAACCGGGTGGCACAAGCGATGTTGCATGATTTTGTTGGAATGTGTGTCACCCCAGTTCAAATTTGTTGCTTGCAATGTTGCGCCGTGTGTCAGCACCTTTACTGTTAATAGTTCCTACCAAGTGCATTATTCCATCCTTTAAATTTTTTATTGGAAATTGCACGATCTCAAGTACAATTCAGAATTTATAGGTACATAGTATGAGTGATGTTTTGAAATTTTTTTTCCAATATGAGAATTTTAAAGACATCACGAGTATCTATAAATTCCAGATTGAACGAGAAGATCATGCAATTTTTTGTTTACATGCATAATACACTCATCAAAATTGAGCAACTTAATTGCGATTCTACAGAGTATAATTAGGGATTTAGTTGTACTTTTTTTGTCCAATCAAAATCAAGTAATGTTGTTGAGTATATTATAAATATAAAAATTAAAAATTCATCTATGATTAATCTTATATCATTTTAGGTATCCCTCAAGATTGACGAGAAAGAAGTAGAGTTTGCCCTTCAAGATAAGACTCTTTTGTCTTCAATTTTACAATCTGCTGACTAATTTAATTAATTCATTTTAAAGTTTTATCTTGGTTATCAGTATTTTTCAAATTATTTTTAAACATTTGTAAATATAAGGATTTGTTCTTAGAACACAAAAAATTTAAATATAATGCATTACAGCATTGATAATTGCTGTAAAATTTGCAATCATATTTTGTGAATATTTTATTTTTTCTAGATATAGTCATACATCTTATTGAAATTTTATCTGCAAATAAAGATTTACAGTCACATTTCAAAAGGTAGCATTTTTTTGAATTTTTAACAAGTAATGGGCCCGGTTGTATGAAGCTTGGATAGCGCTATCCAGTGGATAAATCCTTATCTAGCTAGTGAATAAGTCGATAGAGTGCAAACAATTACTCCGTGAAACTTTAGTAATACTAAATAGCACTATTTATTTCATGCAAATTCCATTGTTTTCTATTGTTTAATTAGCACTATTTTGTACTATTTAGTCATTAGTGTTTCACAGATATATTGTTTGCACTCTACTGTTATCCAATAAATTTATCCACTCGATAAGATTTATCCATCGGATAGCACTATCCAGACTTTGTACAACCGAGCCCTGTATAATACATTTACAGTGTACTGTAAATAACTTGACATTTGCTGCCATGTGTACACTGTTTTTCTCTTTTATTCTATTAAGATGATGCTCTGGCTATTGCTATTTATCAGTATCCACTCCAAGGTTGAGAACTAATGGATCAAGTTGGGCATCTCAATGTACATGTATTGTAGGACTTTCATAGGGGACAAAATAGTAGTCTCCAATGCAGCCGCTATTAGTGTTCTCATGCCACGCTCACTCTAATAGCGGCTGCGTAGGACTAACAAAATAGATGCTGATAATATCTTGGTAATATGTCCCCTAAAACAATATCACAATGAACTGCAATGCCAACTCAACCAGTTTTTTTCTCAACTTTGGAATGGCTAATGCCGTAAACCGTAATTACGAAAGACTAGTTTGGGCATTTAATGTTTACATTTCATGTGTCTCCCATTAATAACAGTTACACCTAGTAACTGAAGCGGCTACCCTGGTTAAATAATACCCCTATGGGATATGTACATTTTAATATCTGTTTCAGTCAACCATCTCAGCTCAGACATGTTATATTGATTCACTACAGTTACCTTTTACATCTAGCTGAGATGATTTCAAATGATTTTTGACAGAAGGTAAAAATGACAAAATATAGTTCACAGCTGCTACGAAGTCAGAACACACAGCAAAGGGAGGTTCACTAAGACGTCTTTCATCACCTTCCCTATATTTTCCTGAAAAAAACAATCATAAAATCAAGTATATTATATGGTATACAAAAATAATATCTTATACAAGTAATAATGATTAATTGAGGTGTTTTCAAATATGTTTCAAAGCATTGAATGCATGTGCAGTATTGCATCCAGGGCGTGGTTTCATTGGTTCCATGGAGCCTACTTTGTGAAGCCTATCATTTTGTCATAGGATTAAAATTTGGTTTGTCGTCAAAATGCAGGAAAAAAATAGCATTTCTGTAACCCCTATTTCAAGCCCCGTTTACACTGGCTATTTTCGTGGCGATTTTTGCCKCAATTTTTGTGGCAATTTTCGGAAATATGAAATTTTTTGTCTCATCCTTCAAAAGAGACATTTGTCTAGGAAAATCTTGGCATCCTGAAAAAAACTTTACAAGCAAATTCTTTACTATTATTTATTATGGACAAAATCGCAAAAAAATCGCAGCATAAATCGCCGCAAAAATTGCTAGTGTAAACGAGGCTTTAATATCCTGGATCCTCCACTGATTTGAAAGGAGTACAATATTATTATCAATACCTGTCTTCACTAGTATTCCTTTGATACCAATTGCTTGTGAACCACCAATATCATCTCTTACATCCTTGATGACAAAAAATTACAATATTAATGTTTAATACAGTATGTGGAATTACAAGATATAAGGTAGAAGATATGCAACTTGAATGTGCACATAAAAAACATTACAGTAAAACATTTTGCCCAAATGGACTGGCCATCTGTAATAATTTCTAGTCAACACTATACAGAAAGCCAAAGTCAATTTTGTTCAATCTCTGTCATACATGTCAAGGTGATACTGTTGATAAATTAAATTTATTATACCAAGCTTCCCTCTCCCAATTTTCCGAACCCCAACCCCACTCCCCCACTATTTGCATATTCATATTCAAATTCTAATAAAAGAATCTATAGGCCCTTACATCACCAATCATAACAGTAGACTGTGCATCACAACCTAGATCACTAAGTACTTGATGAAAAAATGCAGGTTCTGGTTTGCCTACAATTTCTGCTTCAGTATCAGTACAATACTCCAAGGCTGCTACAAATGGACCTGGACCAAGAGCCATTCCATCTCCTCTCCTGTAATATCTTCCCTTGTGTATTGCAATAAGAGGATGTCCATCGAGTATGAGCCTAACATTACAACAACAACAAAAAATGCCAAAATATATAACGATAAAATTTGGTGTCCATTGTATTGGAGGGTTAGGTGGGTATTAAGCATCCAGCCAGGTGGATCTTCTGCATGTACCACAGACCTACAGTATATTGTACCTATTCTTTGTTAACTTTGTTTCATTATGCATGAAAAAGTAGCCACCTTTTCTAGCTGTTAGAGAGTTCTCATTTGCTACTCCTGGTTACCAGTATGTTCTTGTTCTTGGTGACCAAGAAAGATTGAGAGACTACATCTAGTATAATAAATTAATGAGAGATCCTTACAATATCCTGGGGTCCAGAGGTTATTTATCCTCGCTCTGGTGTTTGCTATTTTGAAGGGAAGTCTCTCTAGTTACAAGAAACAATATAGAACCTCTGGAGCCCAGGGTATCCTTACAACTTTGGCATAATACTTTCCCATTTGAGACCACATGGCATGTCATTCATGGGGTGAGGTAAGTGGGGAGAATCTGCCCCTGCTCCCTGTGATTCAGAGTGCCAGATTTTTGTATGCCTGTTTCTTACCTAAAAGCCTTATTAAGTGTATCATAATTAAAGCAATCAGGTGCAAGCCCAACTACGACACAGTTCGGATTGCTGCAATCAATGTCGTTAAAATCTTGTAAAGCGTCCGGTTGAAGACAGAGCATGGGACGAAGATTTCTTCTCTCGACCAGGTGCCGTGCAGCCGATAATGATGTGAATACTTCATGTGCTTGAATATCGAAACCTATATTGTTAAGACGATCCAATAAAGTTCGCTTTGATTCTTTGGTGGTGTTGGTAATGAAGCGCAAATCGAGACCACTTTCACGAAGTCTGCAAACATTTTTGGAAACAAGTCACTTAATTTAGAGATATTTTTTACAAAACATAACATATTATCAAACCAAAAGTGCAATACTCAAGCCTACTTTTTAATGGCATCAACTGAGCCTGGTATGACCGTGTTTTCAATGTGAATCGTTCCACTGAGATCTACCAAAACAGACCTCAAACTGGACGCCATATTGGATGACACAGGTAGCCCAATTTTCGACGTCTTTGTGAATGCCCCAAAAATCAAAGCAAATGAAAATAGAGACAAAAAATGGTTTACAAATTAATTAAAGATTTCTAAATAAGTTACTTGTGCTCTATATCGAGAGATATATGTACAGCTTACACAGATTTTGCTTATTTTTTTTCTAAAGGAACACAGGTATCCCAAAGACAATATTTGCACATATTTTGCGCTTGCGCTGTGAGGTCACGTTCTCTTTCCTGTGATCCAACATGTCGAAGAGAGGTAAGACTTGATAGTAACTAAAAGAATCCGTTTGCATCGGATTCATCCTCCATCATATTTCATATATTTTGATCTAAATCAATGAACAAATATTAGACTGGCATCTTCTAGTGATTTTTTTGTGCTATTTGTTCCGTGGATGACTTCTATAATGTCGATAAAACCTCACAAAGATATCGTTAGTAAGGTACATGTAGAAAATATCTCTGAGCGTAATCAAAATAAAGAATGTAAAAGTCTGTATTACTTTCTCGACTTGAAGTGTTTTGACGCCTAAATTTAATAAAATATCTTTATATTTATAGTATGTGAATTAACTACAATTATGTACCTATTGGATGTATTTAAAAACTAAAAAACAACGGCRCCTAGTAAAGGTTTAAAATTGTCTGTGCTAATGTTGGTTTTTGATAAACTTTAGGACGTGGAGGTACTGCTGGCGGAAAATTCCGCATTGCCCTGGGTCTTCCAGTGGGTGCTGTTATCAACTGTGCCGACAACACTGGTGGTAAAAACCTGTATATCATTGCTGTAAAAGGCATCAAAGGACGTTTGAACCGTCTCCCAGCTGCCGCATCAGGCGATATGGTGTTGGCAACTGTAAAGAAGGGAAAGCCAGAACTTCGAAAAAAGGGTATGTTTTTGAATTTGCAGTACTTGGGATGCATGTGACACTATAGCTGCCATTTTGGTTGACTTTGACAAAAGATAAGGTCTTGGTGTCTTTTGTCATATCGACCAACATGGCGGTCTCATCTTTTATTCCTTTATTCTCATGAGAAGGGATACACGCCACCAATAGTTTACCTTTAGCAACCATTGTGTGTCATTTTTCTTCTAGTTATGCCTGCAGTTGTTATTCGGCAGCGGAAGCCGTACAGAAGAAAAAATGGTGTATTCATATATTTTGAAGGTATTTCTGTTTAAACATTTTTGGATAGAATGAGTGTCAGCTTATAAAACCAATACTGTTTGCCTAATTCATTTTGTGCATTTATTTTTAGACAATGCGGGGGTTATAGTGAATGTTAAAGGAGAGATGAAAGGTAAGGCTTCCTCTTGTCAAATACTGATATTTGCATTAGATTGTGCAACGCGAACTTTTTTGTCTTTGTTTGTGGCACAAAAACGGTGTGTTTCTAGACTCTAAACAACAGCTATCCACAGAAAAATTTTAATGTTTCCAGGGGCAGCAGTTATGATTTTTGCTTTGACTTTGCATTTCTGAAGTCATGTGCATACATGTACATTCCTGATGTAGAGAATCTAATTAGCTCTTAACATAGTTAATAAATTAGTCAGTTTTGGTTTGACATTGTCCAAACTCCAGCAGTTGTTTTAAACCCTGGTAAAAGTTACAACATGGTAAAATTCCTTTTAAAATTTGTCTTGTGAAGAAAGTTTCAGTTCCAATAATTACTACAAAAAGTAGTTGTGAAACTTTCTTCCCAGGAAAGTTGGTGAAAAAACTAGTTAATAAAATTTTTTTGCCAAATATTCCAGGATCTGCCATCACTGGACCAGTATCAAAGGAATGTGCTGACTTGTGGCCCAGGATTGCATCTAACGCCAGCAGCATTCAATAAACTCTCTTAAACCCAATTAAAGCATTTAGTAACCATTATCAAGTTTTGGTATTTTGAGTTCATTATTAAGGGTATTAGGGTGTAATATATAAAGATTATCACATGTGAAGAGCTAAATATTGCTTTTATTAACGAGTTTCCATATCATATCGCAACGATGGAGCAATATTATATGGAAAACCTGTGAATGAGAAAGATATCAGGCTCTTAACATGTTATGATAACAAAACAAAATATAGCAAAAAGGGATATCATATCACTCCACTGATATGGTTTTTATTCACTGCTTTATCACACTGATAACAAACCTAAATGCGTAGTTAAATTCTGGGTTTGTTTTGGGAAGAGGAATTTACTTAGCTAGTGAAACAAATGTGTATAATATTACTATTTTTTTCACAAGCGAAGTAAAATCACTTTATTATCAAACTCTATTGATTCTGTTTGGTTGGGAAGTTATGTAATGTAACATTGGTGAACAAATACCTCATATTTCTCCTACTGGGGACACAACAGCTATAAAAGTCATAGATGAAGACTAAATTTTGAATATTTTGTATTAAGGCCTAAATGCTCCATGATACAAACAAACAGGAAAATCAAGTAAAAATAAGATCTTGCACTGTGGTTTTGCTCGATTATCATTTGGGCAGAGAAACAGATAGCACAAGAATTCGCATACTTGATGCATACTTATAGAACGTTTGAACCAATTTTGATTATGGTAGACTTTTCCTTTAACTACTTGGGCATAATGTTTTTCATTTCAGACCGTGTCATTGTCTTGAAAATAAGATTCTTTGTTTGAGTTGTATCCATATTCATGTGTCTTCTCATTAAACAAAGAAATGATACTCTGATACGTCGTCTGAAATGGAAAAACAATGGATTAATCTTTTTATGGTCAGAATAGTCGGAATATTCTCCACACCTCTCAAATGCCAACGGTAAAGTAAAAAATGCACAGCTTCAAAAATACAAACATATAAATCCCACAGACCTTCACTTGAACATTATTATTGTACACAATCGCAGCTAACTCTAAGGCCCTGGCTAAACGAGGAAACAAGTTTCCAGAGTGTTCCCCATGATTCCAAGTTTAGCCACATGCGAAACATTGCTACGTGCAACAAATTTTGCTTCCAAGACGCAAAAATGTTTCTGCTGTGCGGCAGAAACATTTCATGCTTCCAAGACGCATGGAAACAATGTTTCCCAATGTTTCCTCGTTTAGCAACGAAAATCAACATTCTAAAAGTTCGTTACTTAGCAACGCTAGCTCTATCTTGAAAGTGCGCATCTAACCGATGTTGAGTAAACATGTTTCCCGATGTTTCCTGACAGTTTTGTCACCTTTGGAAACATTTAGGAAAACGTGTTTTCTCGTTTAGCCAGGGCCTAAGCAGCAAAGAACTCGACTAGAATATCGAAGGAGCGACTAATATTACAATTTTTGACACTTCTGGGAAGGTGGTGATGCTTTGTTTGAAACAACCAGGCTTGTGCACATAAGCAGAAAACTTGAACTTTAGTGAGGCATTGGGAAATAGAACATCCATTATGCTGGAATTCAAATGAAAGTTAAAATTGGCCTAAGTAGCAAATGTTAGTAAGATTTTTTGAGGTGGCTAACTATTTTTCAATATTCGATTTGAGCCCACGATTTGCGCGCGATCAAAAACCGTTGAATAATCTTCACGATTTTATTGAAGAACCATACACTTTTTTTTTTTTTAACTTTAAGAGGGCAAAACCCTCAAATTTCGCACGGGACTCTATACTTTTTTGTTATTTTCCAGAATAACAGGTAATATTCCATTATTTTTCAATTCTGTTTATCAGAACAATGTAGAAAATCGTTCTGTTTGTTTTGTGCTCAATTTTTACGAGAACTTGCACACCGTAGAACCTGATAAAAAAAGTTTTTCCATTGTTTACAACAGTTTATTAAAACAACTTTTATCAGTATTTTATAAATATAGTGTAAGTTACGTGTTCGGAGAAAATTACTTAGTTTCGGTTTTATGATTTCTTTTATACAGAGCTTGATTTTCGCTATTTTTCTTCCATAAATTATACAAACGCATGTCATTCCGGAGTGATTATCTCAAAACAAGCTCGGGAAACCCCATTTTTCTTTGCATTTGCGAAATAGCATTTCAATTTTAAAATTTCAGATTAAAAAGTTTCAATTTTCAATTTTCTGTTTATCATTTACCAAAGTAGTCAGCCACCTTAAAAGCGAAAACACGACTCTTGAGTTAATATACTTAGTTGCTCCCTGAAGTGGTACAATGAAAAGCGGGATTTGATTTGTGTAACCTGGAAAAAATGGGATTTAGCTCACGGGGAATGGGGAAAAAAAGAACAAAATGGGGAAATGTTTGGGATTTGGATTTTGGGAAGAGGGATTTAAAGAAAAATGGGATTGGCACCCCACCTTCAGCTAGGTCCCTCCACTAAATGAAAAGACAACAGAACAAAGAAAACTAATGTGTAATATAAATGTGACAAGTCCATTTTGTTCCGGTTGTTTTTTCAGGTCTTATCTATGCCCACGATCTCAGATTTCTCATTCCTATCACTGATGATGATTGTTGAAACTCAAAACTGTCGTGTTTTCACTTTACAAAGTTTTCAAAATTAACGCTGCTGAGTGTTATTATGGTTTGTGCATTGCTCGGTGAATGGTCGTTAGGATCGAACGGTCGGAGTCTGGAAGGTCAGGAGTTTCATTTTTTCTGTCCCTGATTTTTTTTGCTGGTGACAACCTGATTAATTTATTTCTTTTCATTGTTTGGTCTTTTAGTTTATTGTTTCTGTTAAACTTTTCTGTTATTTGTCATAATACAGTTATTAAATACTTCAAACTAACTTTACTGGATTACCATATCAACACAAATAACATTGAAGATTCTGTTTTTGCTTCTCTGAAACTTTCAAAAGACGAAAAACGGAAAAAATAGCAGCAGCAAAGTGCTAAAAGCCACTGAAAGGTCGCTATCAACATATCAGTCAGAGCACCCAATCATTTTACACCAATCAGCTACGTCCTTTTCCCACGATTAACTCATACATTATGTCACTCATTAAGCATTCGTGTGTAGCGGCCCGGCCTCGATTTTAGTTCCTCCCGCGCGTTCATCCTTTTGAAGATACCTGTAATTTCCAACTATGTGGAGTTAATTTTGATGTTTTTGTGGAAAGAAAATACTGRAATTTAGTTCTGAGGTAAGATAAATATATATATTTAAAAGGGTGGGGTTTATTTGGTGTTTGTGATGGATAATAATTATTGAGAGAGATCTTTAAGGGTGACAACCATGTTATCCCGCTTGACTGAGTCCGATTCATGGATCGAAGTTACAAAAAGACATAAATCATAATCACGAGCGCATCAATGGGCAGCATCAAATCGCATAAAAAGTTTAACATCGAGTACTAAGTTGAACTCTCAATCTGCCAACATGGTGTTCTTTTTGTTATTTTTCCTTCTTCGACACTAAGTCATCTTTTCCTGATCCTCTGCAGGTCTGGGAACAGGTCATAAATCAAGTCTTGCCGGTCAAAAACACAACATGAAGTACACTACGAAAACCGTCAGGCTTGTTGCAATCTTAAGCTTTTGTTTCTTCGTATTTGAGTTAAGTACTACAGTGGCGATGCCAATAAATGAAGGTAATCCCTTAATATAATCCATACTATTTGATACAAAAATGCTTATGAATTATTTGATTTTTTTGCCTTTGTTTTTTCATTTTTTATTGTTTTTATTTTAGTTATAAGTTTAAGGGTTCAATGACTATAGTATATAAACATGCTACCTGTGGCCGACACAAGTAAACGCGTTTCACATTTCAAACACTATTCGAGTTCCTTGGTATTATTGGACCTACACATCCATTAATCGCCTACCCGTTTTCGGGTACTGCTCCCCGGGATTATATATGATTAATATACAGTATATTGCGCGAGCTAAACTCGGCCAAGTATAGGTTTTGTACAATTGTGATCGCTAAAGCCAAATGTTTTTTACCCGGTTTCAAGTCGTTCTTTAAAAAAGTCAATATTTTAATTTGATTTGCGGCGAGAAAATAAATACAGCTTTCCAACAAGAGAATTAACTTTATTCTTGTTTTTTAACTCGGCTGGTCTTGTTACGATTGCAGCATGCACTGCAAGTTGTCGTATCCCCATATCGCCATCTGATTGGCTAGTTACCTAATGTATATTTATAACAGAGACGCCTGCGCAAATCGCCCATAATTTTTATATGAAATAAACAGCAGCTTGCGTCTTTATGCTGTGTTGTAAATGCTTCTAATTGGAATCTGTATAAACAGAAGCACTTTAGTGGTTTTAAAATGCTTCTGACGTCTTTTGTGCTCTTTAGCTCTCAGCGTCTTTATACCAGAGTAGAGACATGTGAGCGCGTTGAACATTGCTCAAATTGAGTACAAACTCATTTCAATAAAGTTAGTCATCTCAGCTGAAAAGCCACAAAACTGAGACTGCCAAGGATTATGGGTAGCTACATATCACATGTTTCAACAATGTACTTGATAAATATAGAGGGACCTGAGATCGTTTACCAGTTACGTACAGTGCATCCTCAAGCTGCAGTTTGTATCAACAGCTTTACTTGTTTGACCATACTTCATAGACTATTGACTATGGTTTATAAGTAAAATTCTTTCCCGTGATCCGCGTCAATCTCAGTTTACGTCAGTTTTTAATTAGACTTGCTCAAGGCCAGCAAGCTCTCTCTGAGACTCATTCAGTGCGCGTGAACTGAATACGGAGACAAAGGGCTTTGCGAAAGTCTATTTTTCACTGGTGAATAACTTTATTGAAATAAGTATATGCTAGGG